CGCCGCAAGCCGTTTCGCCGTAAGCCGTTTCGCCGCAAGCCGTTCCGCCGCAAGCCATTTCGCCGTAAGCCGTTTCGCCGCGTTGAGAATAATCCTAGATATAATTAGTAATGTAAGTTCTGGTCCAAATTTCCAGGCTTAAATTATTATTGATAATAACAATGAAAACAACCCATCTTGATGAAAAAAAAATTACCTGGTCAAAATTGCTACTTTCTGAAAAAAGGGTTAGTTGGGTTTTCTGGTAATTCAACAATAAAAATAACTTGGTCAAAATCATAGTATTGTCCTTTTTATTGGTACTTGCCCGAAACACATATGATGAACAAGAAAGGGTTTTAATTTCGGAAAGCCTAATCTACCTGTCTTACTTTATTGCTTATTAAAATTATCATTTTGTCAAGCATAAAGAGAAGACTTGTCGGTTTCAAAGTACTTGTCTTCTGTCAGAACGCAGCAAGGATGGATCGACTTTTATCTAAGAGAAAACAAGATAAATTTTTCAGTGATGGGTACATTTATGTATTCGACAAATTGAGTCAGGACAACGACACAAAGTTCTTCCGCTGCGAGCAAAGGGGAAGATGTAAAGGCAGAATCCATGTTAGAAATGGCGAATTGGCTTTAAGAGTAAGCGACCACAACCACGGACCAACCCCTACGAAAATTGAGGTGGATAATATGATAAAAAATAAAATAAAACGACGAGCTGAAGATACTATGGAAGCGCCGATTCAAATCATTAATGGAGTAGTCGCGAGCATTTCAGAATCCGCACAAGGTATGAAGAGTTTACGCTACCTCACATCATTATTTTTATTTTTCCTAATTCCTCATTGATAATAGTATTCCTTTTTCTTATTTTTAGGTTCCATGCCTAATAACAGTGCCTTACGAAAATTAGTTACGCGAACCAGAAATGTAATTCAGGCAGCTCCTCCAATGCCAGCATCGCTTCAGGAATTGGAAATACCTGAAAGATACAGAACATATGATGAAGAAGAGAACTTCCTCCTCAATGACAGTGGTCCGGATAATGACAGGATTTTGATATTTGGACGGCAAAGGAATATAGACCTTCTTCAGCAATCAAGGATCTGGTATGTGGATGGAACCTTCAAACCTGCACCTCCTCTTTTTAGCCAAATATATGTAATTTTGGCCGAAATGTATGGTGGAGTCCTTCCGGCGGTATATGCTCTTCTGCCAAATAAAAGGAAAGCTACATATTGCAAACTTATAGAGATGCTACGACAATTACAGCAAGATCTGGCCCCTCAAAATATAATTTCCGATTTTGAGACTGCAGCATTTACTGCTTTTCAGGAGGCATTTCCAGACGCCCGGATACATGGATGTTTTTTTCATCTAAGCCAGAATTTTCACAGGCATTTAGCGCAATTGGGACTACGCTAGCAGTACATAAACGACCCAAATTTTGCAAAGGTGGATAATATGCAAAGGTGGATAATATGCAAAAACGTCCTGACTCAATTTGTCGAATACATAAATGTACCCATCACTGAAAAATTTATCTTGTTTTCTCTTAGATAAAAGTCGATCCATCCTTGCTGCGTTCTGACAGAAGACAAGTACTTTGAAACCGACAAGTCTTCTCTTTATGCTTGACAAAATGATAATTTTAATAAGCAATAAAGTAAGACAGGTAGATTAGGCTTTCCGAAATTAAAACCCTTTCTTGTTCATCATATGTGTTTCGGGCAAGTACCAATAAAAAGGACAATACTATGATTTTGACCAAGTTATTTTTATTGTTGAATTACCAGAAAACCCAACTAACCCTTTTTTCAAAAAGTAGCAATTTTGACCAGGTAATTTTTTTTTCATCAAGATGGGTTGTTTTCATTGTTATTATCAATAATAATTTAAGCCTGGAAATTTGGACCAGAACTTACATTACTAATTATATCTAGGATTATTCTCAACGCGGCGAAACGGCTTACGGCGAAATGGCTTGCGGCGGAACGGCTTGCGGCGAAACGGCTTACGGCGAAACGGCTTGCGGCGAAACGGCCGCGACGAATCGGCCACGGCGAATCGGCTGCGGCGAACTGTACTAGACCCTTATGAGGATAGGCTATCCTGTTTACTGTGTAATATTCTTGAATCTTCTTCTGCAACCGTCTCAACTCCCAACCTCGAAAGCGAAACGCTTACAATCCCGCACGTGTTGTGGCCTCTAAAATTTGGCATCAACTGCCCCCTCTTATTTTTTTGTCGGAAAATGATCGAATATGGAAATTTTGAGAAAAACCTGATACAGCACAGTTCAGCACACTTCAGATTAGTTAAAAATTCAATTTTGTTTAATCTGATTTCCAAAATTTTGGGGGGGCTGAGCGTCAAGTTAGCCCCCCAGTAGGATTTTGTCGGAAAATGACCGAATATAGAAATTTTGAGAAAAACCTGATAAGATTGGATAAGAATTCAATTTTGTTTAATCTGATTTCCAAAATTTTTGGGGGGCTGAGCGTCATAAGTTAGTCCCCCAGTAGAATTTTGTCGGAAAATGACCGAATATGGAAATTTTGAGAAAAACCTGATACAGCATACCTAGTTCAGCACATTTCAGAATGAATAAGAATTCAATTTTGTTTAATCTGATTTCCAAAATTTTGAGGGGACTGAGCGTAAGTTAACCCCCCAGTAGGATTTTGTCGGAAAATGACCGAATATGGAAATTTTGAGGAAAACCTGGTACAGCACAGTTCAGCACACTTCAGATTATATAAGAATTCAATTTTGTTTAATCTGATTTCCAAAATTTTGGGGAGACTGAGCGTCAAGTTAGCCCCCCAGTAGGATTTTATCGGAAAATGACCGAATATAGAAATTTTGAGAAAAATCTGGTACAGCACAGTTCAGCACACTTCAGCATGGATAAGAATTCAATTTTGTTCAATCTGATTTCCAAAATTTCGGGGGGGCTGAGCGTCAAGTTAGCCCCCCAGTAGGATTTTGTCGGAAAATGATTGAATATAGAAATTTTGAGAAAAACCTGATACAGCACAGTTCAGCACACTTCAGATTAGATAAGAATTCAATTTTGTTTAATCTGATTTCCAAAATTTTGGGGAGACTGAGCGTCAAGTTAGCCCCCCAGTAGGATTTTATCGGAAAATGACCGAATATAGAAATTTTGAGAAAAATCTGATACAGCACAGTTCAGCACACTTCAGCATGGATAAGAATTCAATTTTGTTCAATCTGATTTCCAAAATTTCGGGGGGGCTGAGCGTCAAGTTAGCCCCCCAGTAGGATTTTGTCGGAAAATGATCGAATATGGAAATTTTGAGAAAAACCTGATACAGCACAGTTCAGCACGCTTCAGATTGGATAAGAATTCAATTTTGTCTAATCTGATTTCCAAAATTTTGGGGGGGCTGAGCATCAAAGTTAGCCCCCCAGTAGGATTTTGTCGGAAAATGACCGAGTATGGAAATTTTGAGAAAAACCTGATATAGCACAGTTCAGCACACTTCACAATGGATAAGAATTCAATTTTGCTTAATCTGATTTCCAAAATTTTGGGGGGGCTGAGCGTCAAGTTAGCCCCCCAGTAGGATTTTGTCGGTAGATGACCGAATATGGAAATTTTGAGAAAAACCTGATACAGCACAGTTCAGAATGGATAAGAATTCAATTTCGTTTAATCTGATTTTCAAAATTTTGGGGGGGCTGAGCGTCAAGTTAGCCCCTCATCTATTTGTTTCCTATAACTTTGTTATCGGAACGGCACAGTTCAAAATATCATCGGCACAGTAAAGCACACTTCGAGCACAGTAGGTGGTTGCAATTTTTTTAGAAAATTCAAATGTGGGGGGGCTAACTTGACGCAGCTGAATTTTTACCGCACTTCCTATATCACCCTGTAAAAAAAAAAATTATATTTTTTTCTTTTTGTGTGAACCAGATGATTACCAATGAATCGCTTTCAAAAATGGTGAAAACTGCATATTTTTCTGTTAATTTATTAAAAAGTTGTTGCGTCTCAAAAGTTGGTGAAATTTATGCTTGGAACGAACCTATTGTTGAGTATGTAGAATTCTGCATGACACTTTTTTGAGTCTCTGGTCTGACCAGCCAGAGGCATGGTACAGTGAACTGTATACTGATGCCAAGTGGAATTATTTATATCAAGTGGCTTGCTTTATTTTGTAAGAACCAAGGTAAGAACACTTTAATTTTGCAACGAAAGTGATAACTTTTGTAAAACTTTTGCTAGAGCAGAAATTATAAATTAAGTTTGAAGAAAAAAACGAAAACTCCCGGATAGCCAGAAAAAACCCAATAAAACCCATAAAAACCCAAAAAAACCCGACGGGTTGGACTTTTTCAAAAAAACCCGGGTTTTTTCCAACCCTGCGCTTGATCACAAGAAGTTTGGTTTATTTTGCATGTATAAACATTCTGATTTGCCTGAATCAGGGACTCTATTTTTCAAAACTGGTCACCTTTTCAAAGTTCTCCCCAAAGAAGATCGTCTTCCCCAAATATTTTAACAATGTATTTTGTCCTTGCATTTTTCGAGTTTTCCAAACATGGGCGAATAAGCCCCTTGTCATATTTTTTTTTTTGAATAATAAAACTAGCCGCAGCCGCAATAATCACCTCGTTTTTGTCCTAAGTATATTTTTTTAGTTTGGGAATTTATTTCAAGTATGGCTTTGTCGCCAAAAATTATGTTTTTAAGTCAGTGAAGCTATTTCTGACTCTAAATGTTTATATGTGTTGTGCTGGTGTATACACGAAGTTGAATCAGGTTGCATGGTTCGAAAAAACCAATATCAACTCCATCCCGCAATGTTGTTTTAGTGAAGATACTCAACATATCAACTGCTATTTTTAATCTAGATTTATTGTCAGTGATCAAATAGAGTCGCTTTTCTGATTTTTTTTCCAAATCATGTAGTCTGTGAATGGTAAAAAAAATTAGCATGGAAAGTATTTCTTCATAAATAACTCGATAAATAACGTAAGCACTTAAATTCTACTTTATTGATCACATTATATAGTTGTCAATGGTACACTTAATATAAGTTTTATACATAAATTAATGAGTATTTTCAGGTGCAGGAGCCATACAGTTACCAGTAGGGTACCTTTTCTTAAAATTTTCTATGAGATCTTGGTCCAGTAATCTTATACCATCAACTTGGTTACCTAAAGTAATCCAATTCGGTTGAATATTGTGCGGACGACCGAAAAGCTCAATTTTTCTTGTACCAGGAGACAACCTAAGAATTACTATTCCAATAAAATATTCTTTAAAACAAAAGCTTTTAGTTACCTTTCAATCATTCCATAAATCTCATCAGGTTTATGACTGGTGGCTCTAACCTCGGCGACAATAACGTCAGAGTCGAGACCTCTATTTAAATCTTTTGGGTTGCCCTTCATGCCAACCAAACAATGCTCTTTTCCGTGGTTCAGCCAATGTCCAGTACGGCCTGTTCTTATAATCCTTTGAAGCTGATTGGTTTTCACCCAAATGATTTCATCCACCCTGTCATAACCCCACAGTTTTAAACATTCCCTTCCCAATTCCATTGCCCTACCAGTAACCCAGAGAAAAATAAGACCTGAAATATTATTGATTTATTTAGTATTGTAGAATCAGTTCTGTTATAAGAAAGCTTAGGCTGAATGCAAAAAATGAAGGATCTTACAATTTGAACAAGTATATTTTGACTGGCCCTAAAACCCTTTTGTTGACAAATTTTATTAATTGGCAACTAATAAGTATCTCAGATGTACCACAAATATCATGTGAAATAAGACTAAAAAGGTTTCTGGTTTCTAATTTATCAAGCCTTCTATATTACTGATGAAATTGAATTTGAGACATTTCAATGTGCTATTATTTTATTATTCAAAGATTTGCACCAATCACCAATAAAAATTCTCATAATATGCTTCAAGCATAAAAGTCACATTTACCTTCATCTTGCAATTGTGGAATTCCAAGCTGTCTCATTTCATCATCCGACATTGTTCCATAGGGCAATTCCATATGAATATCCCATGGAGGGTCTGCCATTATAACAGCAAATTTGCCTAATACAGTCATATCTAAATATCTTAAATCGCACTGTATCCATTGCGGTGGATACAGGGTGGTACTCTCCACCCTTCCAACTGCAGGGATATTCAACAAGGCTGATGAGTTATCTCGATTTTGTCCTGCCCTGTCCACTTCATAGTGGACATATTTGCAAGTGTCCATATGGAAGCAGGTGTTTAGAAAGGAACAATCACCTAGAGATTCGTCTGTGTGTTTTTGAATGATTTTCTTAAAGTGCAGTTTTCTACAGTCAGTTATGCCGTTTTTTTCACAGTCCAATTTTGTGCCGTGTGGACAAAATTCCATCAATTGTGTTCCACCTGAAGGATTTTTTATATTATTTGTCGATACCAAATAGATCCAGCATAAAAGTATTCCACAACAAATTAGTCTCAGAGATACCTAATAAAGTATTTGTCAGTTCTACTCTACTATGGAACAGAGAGGCACTTGATAAATTTATCACAGAGTTTAACACAACTATGATCAAGGGGCAAACCACCTAGGAATTCTTTGCCAAGAATGTGGGGAATTTAGAGGAATTTGTGGGAAATTTAGATGAATTTGTATGGAATTTGAAGGAACTTATCGGAATTTATGAGAATTTGGGGAATTTATAGGGAATTTGGAGGAATTTATGTGGAATTTGGAAGAATTTGTGAGAAATTTATGATGAATTTGAAGGAAATTCTAGGGCCATGACGTCACTGAGGTTCACATTCTTATTATAAGAAATAGTCGAGGGGGCGACCACTCCCGAAAAATATGTACATGTATTGCGGAAATCCTATGATTTCCAAATGATTGCAGCGATTTCGGAGAATTTTTCTAAAAATTTGCGATTTCGGAGGATTGCCAGGCGATTTCAGTGACTGCAGAGACTACAGGAGGGATTGCGAACTAATTTTTGAGATTGCGAGGTGATTTTTGGGATTGCAAAGTGATTTCGGGGATTGCAAATATGATTGCAGAACATATTTCATTCGATTTTTTCATTATCTTTTGAATTTTCATGATTTTAATTTCAGTTTTTCATTCATAAGTTTATAGATAGGTATCTACAGGGTGACCTAGTTTCGATGTTTTAATAGGCTATATCGAAAACCAGCAACAGAGATATCAAAAATGTGGGAACACATTCTGGAGTTCTTTTCTAAAGAAATAACAATGGCGAGGACAAATCACAGCTGAAACTTGATACGTGCTTAGGAAATACAGGGCACTGTCCAAATTTTGTCCAATTTTAAAAGAGATCCTAATTTTTTTATTTATCAAGATATCCAAAAACCGAAAATGCTTTCTAGAAGCAGTTTTACAAGTAGAATCCAGTGGCATGCCCAATTTTTTTTCTAGATGCCTCCGATTTTGAAATATTAACCAAAGTTGTGTTTTTTTTTTTTAAATGGGACACCATTATTTTTCCATTGCATAGCTCTTTTTGAGCTGCTGTCAATGATATAAGGTTTTATAGCTTTACCTTCAATAGTTTTTAAGGAGAAAAATAAATTCCGTTTCTCCATAAGAAACAATGAGCTAGAAAGAGATAAGTCATGAAATAAATTATGTGTTGCTTATTTATCATTATCACCCCCAATTGATAGTTCAAATTGAAAAAAAAATAAAAAATTGTTGAAATAATGAATTAAGAATAGCAATTTGTAGCTGATCCATATTTCAACTATATCTTTCTAATTCATTGTTTCTTATGAAGAAACGGAAATTATTTTTATTTTTTCAAAAACTTTCGGAGGTAAAGCTATAAAACCTTATATCATTGAAATAGTGTCCCATTTAAAAAACTACAACTTAAAATTAGGGCGAGCATTAGGGTTACTATTCCAAAATAGGGAAATCCAACGACCTGTCAAAATTAAATTCAAAATGGAGGCCAATGCCTTTTTATTTTAAAAAAATGCTGTTTTATTGCGATTTTTGATTTGTATAAAGTCTGTAAGGTGTTGATTTTGTGGAAAATGCATACGTTATGTATTGTATTTAGTTGTGGGAGCCGTTCTAATCGCGAGAAAGTCTAGTTTCATGCCGTTCCTGCAGAGACAAAACACAGGTTTTTAACGAAGAAAAATGATTTGTCTGTACTTTGTGAGGGCTTCATGGATTGTAGCAAAACAGAAAAAATTTTACGAAATCTATATTAAAAAACCAAAAAGTCTTTCTACATAAATGGTGTATGGATCCAAGCCATTTACTATCCTCCACATAAGCTTGTGTAGATACCTTGAATAGCAGACAAATAAAATAAACATCAGGATTCAGGATTTGGTTAAGAAAAAACTAAACAGGAAACAAATCCTGGAGAGTACGTACCTAATTGTTTAGTAGGTATAGGTTTGTCACAAAGAAATCATAACATTTGCAAACATCCGGGTTTTCCACTAATAATTTTTTAAACTAAAAACTTTTCATCTTAAAATACGAAAATTATCCTTCCAAACACTAGAAAATAATCTAAAAACACCACAAAAAACAGCTTTTTGATGAAAAATGTCACGGTTGTTTAAATTAACTTTATGGCGCCAATTTTTTGGCATTGACCATGCATTGACCATGCATTGACCGCCATTTTGTTTGGATTGCCCTATTGGTGGCATCTTGAAAAAAAAAAACAGTCATGCCACTGGATTCTACTTGAAAAACAATTTAGCCGTGAGTTGTCCATTGTCTGGTTTTCGATATAGGCCATCAAAACATCGGAAATGGGACACCCTGTACAGGATGTCAAGTTAAAAAATATCACCACCTGTAACTTTTTTATTTTTGATCGTACATAAAAAACTTGATTCAAGTGTCATTTTCCAATGATTATGAAATACGCCCAATATACAAGGTCTCAAAAAGAGCTGCATAATATTTTTCATTGGATATCATTTCCACTTATTCCACATGAGATATATCCAGCTTTTGATTCTTCAAAATAAAAAAAAAATGCTGAATTCGAAAATGAGAGCAACAAAAAATTGATGTCAATTATCAATGTACCGCCGAGTGTACCGCAAAATCCCGACCAACAGCTGATTTTTTTTCCCCACTAGAGTTGATTTTGAGGGATTTCAGAGACTGCAAAGGTGATTGCATAGGATTTCAGCGATTGCGGAAACGATTTCGGGGCTGCAAGAAGGATTTCGCGATTGCGATCTGACTGCGGGATTTCAGAATGATTTCGGAGATGATTGCAAGTGATTTCAGGCCAAATGTACACGTATTGCAGGAAGTGGTCGCCCCCTCGGAAATAGTACTTAATAAATGGAAATTTAAAAAAAAAAATAGTTTTGCATTGGACGTTGGATATCCATTTTTATTAAAGAAATTCTCCCAAAATTTCACTTCATGATTTACAGGTCCAAATGGACCCCGCAATATTTAAATGGAAATTGGTTACCCGTGATATTTGGATGAAATTTAAATATGTTGTTGGGGATGCCGTAAGCACCATTTTTTACCATGGACACAACCCTGTATATATGACAGGTGAGGCGTGGTTAGCTGTCAAATATTGGAATCTTATATCCAAAAGCAGAGTGACTATGGCAGATTTTGATGAACGAAGTATCGATGTCTACTAAGTCGACCATGTTAAGTCGAAAAATGTCAACGATTTTGACACCTGTCAAAACCCTGCCAAACAGCAGCACTCATCTTTTCCCGTTTTCAACATTTTATGATGTCATTTGACATTTTGAACTTGTATGTGAATTCTAAATTCAAAAATTGGAAAAAAAAATTACAGAACTGTCAAAACCTGTCATTTGTTTTAGTAGAAAAAAATACTCTAATCTAGTTCTTTTTTGTTTCAAGGTTGTTTATTAGTGATAAAACATTAAACAAAGTTCATGCATGTCACATTTTGACTCTGACAGTTGTCAAAATGTGACATACCCAAACTTTGTTTAATATTTTATCACCAATAAACTACCTTGAAACAAAAAATAATCAAATTAAAGTATTTTTTTCTTCTAAAACAAATGACAGGTTTTGACAGTTCTGTCTTTTTTTTCAATATTTGAATTCAGAATTTACATACAAGTTAAAAATGTCAAATGACATCATGAAATATTGAAAAATGGAAAAGATGAGTGCTGCAATTTGGCAGGGTTTTGACAGGTGTCAAAATGGTTGACATTTTTCGACTTAACTTGGTCGACTTATGGCGTTTTCCATTTGTTGCACGGAGGTGCACTCAGTGCAATTTTTATATTCCATTTGACTGCACATTTTCAGTTTTCATTTTCCATTTGAAATTCAGTGCAATTATTTATGCACTCAGTGCGCATTTTTTGGCACGAGCTAGGAAGGCTCGTGGAGAGCCAGTGCAGTTTGTTTTGTTTTTGTTTACATGTACCGTACATAAAAATGTCTGCTAATTTCCAAAGAAAAAGTTGTTGCACTTTTGGATTTGATATGTAGCAGCAGCGAAGTTGAATTCTATGACGAAATTATATTATTTGAACGTATTCCGCAGCTTATCCACGTTGTTTTTAGATATACCTATTATTATTTATTATTGTTGTTTAAAAATATTGTCTGATGCGAAGTAGGTACTTTAAATTATTTATAGATAGTCAATTTCTTCTAAATTTAACGGCGGATGAAACCGCGGAAAAGAACTAGAAGAAGCTGTTATTTCAAATAGATGATCTGGACCATCGAACTAAATAGTTATTTAGTATGACTTCTTCATTAACTCTAAAATTCATTTCAAATACATCAATTTTTTAAATAGTTTTTGTAGTTCACTCTAGAACCATAGAACGACAGCCCAGACTAAACTTATTAATATTACAATTTTATAGGCTGTTCATTTGTACTGCTTTTCTTGTTTCAAGCAGATCTCATCAGCTGATCGGCGTTCACTTGTCCCATAACTCCCATATAATAAGCTCGTAAATAGCAGCTCCTAGCATATCTTCCTGATTTTGCGAGTAGGTAGAGTACAAATGAACAGCCTCTATACTATAAAACATGCAGAGCAGGTAACCAGAAACCGGCAAATGCTAAACAAAAACAACTAACCAACATAAGATTTTACATAACCCCAGAATCCGAGCCGAGTCTGCATTTTTGCTTTCCATTTATACTGCACTGGTGCGCGTTTTTGACAGCACTAGAAAAATTCTCGTGCGCACTGAATGCTGCACTGAGACGACAAATGGAAAACGCCATTAGTAAAAATAAATTTTTTGTTCATCAAAATCTGCCATAGTGACTCTGCTTTTGGATATAAGATTCCAATATTTGACAGCTAACCACGCCTCACCTGTCATATATACAGGGTTGTGCCCATGGTAAAAAATGTTGCTTATGGCATCTCCAACAACATATTTAAATTTCATCCAAATATCACGGGTAACCAATTTCCATTTAAATATTGCGGGGTTCAGAAAAATTCAAAAGAATAATGAATATAGTTTTTCTACTACCGTGCGTAAAGTACTCACTTTACGCACTATTCAGAAGACATATAATTTCTCTTCACGCACTAGTGCGTAAAGTAGATGACAAATGTCATCACTGTCAATTTAGTATTTTTCTGGTAAATTACTCCACGCACTAGTGCGTGAAGTGAAAATACTTCACGCACTAGTACGTAAAGTATTTTTTTATTTATTTATTTATTTATTTATTAACGTATCAACATTTACAGGTTTACAAGTGAACTTAAACTAACTAACCTAAAACAGGTCTTTTTGCACAACTCTTAAATTTTTTATGGGAAACATTAAAGAATTCTAATGACTCACAAAACTTATTCACATTCGCTGATACTCTGTTAACAGGACTATACAATAAGTACCAAGAATTACAAATTGGTATATGCATCAAGGTCTGCCTACGTGTTGGATATCCAGGTATACGAAATCGAAAAGTTTCCAAACATTCTGGACTCTTGATATAGTAGTTTAGAACATTAAATGCAAAGCATATGTCATAGTATTCTCTTCTGCGAACAAGAGATGCTAAGTCTAGGTATAACATGGTCTGATCATTATCAAGTTCAATACCATTGCAAAAAAGTTTATATTTAGCACATTTTCAAGTCTATTTATATGAACCTGATAATATGGCGACCAAATTATGTTTGAAAATTCAAGGATGGATCGAACCAGCGACGTATACAACACCTTCAGAGCAAACACACTCCTAAAGTCTTTACTGGTTCTTTTGATAAAACCTAATATTCTATTAGCCCTACCTACTATATACTCAAAGTGCTCGATGAACGTAAGTTTAGTGTCCAAGTAAACGCTAAGGTCCTTAACAACAAATACCTCAGCAAGAGCAACGTGATTAATGGAATATTCCACAGGTATAGTATTCATCAAGCGGGTGAAGCGCATAAAGCAGCATTTGTCGATATTAAGTGACATGTCGTTGAGGTTACACCAATCGTATACAATGTCCAGATCATTTTGCAGAAGAAGAATATCACGAGTTGATGATACTTCCCGAAATATCTTTAGATCATCCGCAAACATCAGAAAATTGGAGGAAAGTAGATGGCCCAGGTCATTGATGAATAAACTGAACAAGAAAGGTCCCAAATGAGATCCCTGAGGAACCCCAGATGTGACTTTGAACTTATCCGAGAGATAACCATCAATTCTCACCTGCTGAATCCTACCTGACAAATAAGACTCCAACCAAGAAATCAAAAAACTTTGAAATGTGTGAAAATGTATTTTCAATTAATTCAGTTTTTGTAGGTTGATTTCCAAGATTCTTCATGTTGCTATTTTCCACTGGAAAAAATTTAAATTTCGGGAAAATGAGCCTCTAACCTTTTTCTTTACATCTTTACATACAAAAAGTTTCAAATTTTTCCTTTCACTAGTTTTATAGGAAAACTTTGAAATGTGTGAGACTGTATTTTCAAATAATTCAGTCATAGGCGCCGGAACCATGGGGGCAATGGGGGCTTGAGCCCCCATAGTGAATTTTCTCATAGTGATTTAGGTATTACATATAGCGGGTAGATAGAAAAATATTGAGTTCCTAACTATTAACTTTTATATCGAATTTGTGTGTTTTATGTTTTCGTTGTTTTTGCTATACCTGCTGAAAGGGGTCCAGAAAAGTTGATATTCCAAGTTTCAGCCCTCTCCGACCTACCGCAGGGGGTTTAGCTCGCATACACGCCATGCATTTGATTTTCCGAATTTAGAGAAATAAAAAATACCACCGGATAGAGAAGCCAAAAATACGTCGAAAATATTTCCTGCTGTTTTTCGCTCCGACGCTTCGTAAGCCCGGAAAAAAATAAAAAAGATTTTGATCCTGGAAAATTTTGGGCACCCGACACGGCGCCACTTTTTCGCTTATAACTTCGGTAATTTCGAACTGATTGTCTCGAATCAGGTTTCCTTCGAAAGAGCAATAAATTACCTACAATTTTTTTTAATTGATATTCCAGGCTGTTTCAGGCTGTTTCTGTCTCTGAGATATAAGCAATCAAAGTTGAAATTTCTCTGAAAATGTATTAAAAGTATTGAAGTCGATTTTCTCAGAAACGGTGCCCGTGGAAGGGTAACTCTACTAAGCTTTTTTGTAGTTCTCAATGAGATCTACAGGTTTTGTATTTAAGGTTTTTCTCCTAGGCTCTCTGTTTTCTAGCTAGAAATTTTAAAAAAATTAAAATAAAGGCTGAATTTTTTTTGTCATGACGGCCTTACGGGGAACCCAAATATCTCCAAAATGGGCTCAGTTTATTTTTTTCTCTCGTTTCTTCGATTTTTTTTTGTTCTTTCAAAATATATGTTTTTGCCTTGATATAATATGATATTATAATAAAAATAACATTCTACTATAAATTCTTATCAAAATTTGTGAAAATAGGCGCATCCCCGCTTGCCCCCACCATTAGGAGTCCCAAAAATACCGCAAAAAGCCCAAAATTTCGCGCCTGCGGCGGAGCTTCAAGAGTTTCTCCGAAGCGATTTGCCCCCTCTCCTCAAGGCAAAATGCTGGCTATTCCAATGGTGCTGCCGAAGTCGAATATTCGAATATAGCCGAGCTGCCGGAAATCCACGAATTTTAATAATATGCAGGGACGATCAATGATCCAGCGTGGCGATCCTGCAGTGAAATTGTTATCTGTCAACTGGTCCCATTTAAGCCTATGTGTGTAGTAGTCTAGTCCTGTCTGTATAATTAATTCTACTTCTGGTAATTTTTGGAGCTCGAGCCCCCATAGTAATTTTGAAATTCCGGCGCCTATGAATTCAGTTATTGTAGGTTGATTTCCAAGATTCCTCATGTTGTTATTTTCTACTGGAGAAGTTTGAATTGAATTGAATAATTGGATAATTGAAGGACATAATGAAAGTGAACATTTATTAGTTAGTTCGGATATTATTTCAGAAGATCGGATAAACTTCAAAAGCGCATTGATTATGATTTCAGAAGAGGTACAAAATCTCCTTAAAAGTGACCCTGAGTGCAAAGGAACTTCAAGCTACTTGAAGTTAATACAAGTTTATCTGTATCCAAATCTGAGTATGTATCCTAGTATCATATTATGGAAAAAAGGCTGAACGTTGAAAAAAGGGTTTACTTATTTCCAAATTATTGAAAAAGGAATTAGACACATTAGACTATGCTGAGGTTCAGATTAAATTTATTGTTTATGGTCTTGTAAACCTGTTCAACTTTTAGGAAAAGGTCCATTTAAAATAAAAAGAAACAATATACCTATCCTCAATATTGTGAAACAATATACATACCTACCGAAGTTGTTCAAGAAGTAGCTACATGACATGTATTAGTCTTGGTATTATACAGTTTTATATTTGTTTTAATTTCCTAAAAAGGTATAGGTTTGTTCTCGTGTTAGTTCAAACCCCTGCATTCTTGATTACCGAAAACCAATCATTAGTTCTAGCTCTAAAGTCAACTAATGAAACCTTGCATTATTTGATTTTAATCTCGATTCTACTTGATAAACTGCTCTTTAACTGAGAGAAATAAAAATAGGAAAAATAAATTTCTTATCATGAGCAATTGTAGGAATTTTCAGAGGGAATTTGTAAGAGACATTTGTGGGAAATTTGAGAGAAGTTTGGAGGAATTTGTGGGAATTTGGAGGAATTTGCAGGGAATTTAGAGGAATTTGTGGGGTATTTGGAGAAGTACGAGGTGGGGTATTTGGAGGAATTTGTGATGGGGTATTCTGGAGGAATTTATTGAGAGTTTGGAGGAATTTGCCGGAATTTTGAGGAATTATGTGTAAAAAATTCCCCTTTGAGGAATTGTTTGCACAAATTCTGGGATGGTGGTTTACCCCTTGACCTCGCCCTTGACTATGATGAACAATTGAGTAGAATGAGTGTGTATTAATGTCAATTCTCTTCTTAACCTTAAAAAATACTAATCTAATTGTTCAAAATTCTCGAAGCCTAGTTGTTAAATTTGAAGAAATATCAGAGAATAACATAATGGCTGATATTAGGAATATATTCATTACTTAATGGCTCGCTTAATGGTTACTAAATTGTTAGATGTGACAGTCACAGCAGACACACAATAGGTCTTTTCACACAGAAATCACAAACCAATCAGAGTGAATTTCACTCGGAATTTCATTGGTTGAAACTAGTTCTCTGACTGTTTTCAACCAATGAAATTCACTCTGACTGGTTTGTGATTGCCTAGAACAACACAAGTGTTAAAAATTGTAGGTAGTTACCTTGTGATTTAAATCTTTCTGTCAAGGACCTTTCTTTAGCTGTGGGTTTACTAAGTAAATCCAAAATTTCTTCTCCAATTTTTTTCGTTTCCTTTTCTTTCGTCGATGGCATTGATAAGAGAGACTAAAAGAATGTCAATTCTAATACCATAACTACTTCTTAGCGATTAAAAAAATTACTTACCAATATATCAGTCTTTGGTTCTTTCCTTTCTTTCCGTTTTTTATCATCATCAAAATCCTCAACAGAATCCTGACTTTCTTGTCTTTTCCTTTTTGCACTATTATTTAAAATATTTTTCTTGTCGTCTAAAAATTCCGCTATCATATCATTTACCTTCGTCACTTCCACAGAAATAACATCCAAACCATTCACCCCATCTTTAACAGAGTCTTTTACAGTTATCAATTTTTGGATAGTGAATTTTTGCAAAACGTTACATATCTGTTTATGGGTTGCTTCTCTTTTTAATACTGCCCTTATACTGTCTACTAAATCAGTAGACGATGTGGGTAATTGTAAAGTAACATCAGCCAGCTCCTTTAACAGTTCTTGTTCCAATTGTGGGTCGATTTTAATCAAATCCGTTTCCTCATGTTTTATAGTTTTTATTTTGGTTTCTTCTTTAAGTACAGGAGAAGATATTGAGGCTGTAGGTTCAGTTTTGAGGATGCTCACACTCGAACTTACCAAACTGGAGCTCAGAATGCCTTCTCTTTCTTTTTTACGTTTTTCTAGACGTTCTCTCAGGCTGTTGCGTTTCCTTTGGACCGCTTGAATTTCTTCCCAAGCGTCTGACATAGTCGAGTTATTATTTTATATAAACTTTTCCGTTATTGCTACAAATAATAAAGGCAAAGACAAACTATTCAAACAAAACAAAACAAACTAGAAAAAATAACATAACCTCAGATAAATGACATTGATTGAAAATCGTGGAGTGTGTTCAAAATAGTCTGGGCGTCACACCGAGTGCACACCTGAGCCGCTTTTGGGTGCAGAGTGCGAAGCTCCCTGGAACACTTCACACCTGTCAGTGACCTGACATTCTCCATGCGTTTTGCACGCGAACGGGTCAAACTGTTGCTGGAGTACGTCTGAGTAACTCGGGAGCACTCAAAAGGTGACACCCGAAAGCAGCTCTTAGCTGCTTTCCAGTGCCTAAATTATCTGAGTATCATGCTCCTGAAGTGTGACGCTCTTGAACTGTTCGATATAAGCAGCTATGTAAGCAGCACTGGAACGCTTTGGTCTTAACTTCCACCATTTCGGACTTCAGGAGCATAGAACACCAAAATAAAGGTTGGTGCACGAGGGGGCAGGGGTTAACAGAAATGAGTAGTTCAAGTGTACGACACTCCAAGCACTGGAACGCGAAAAGCAATTGTGGAGCACTTCTGAGCTGCTCAGGAGTAACTCAAATGGGTCACTGGAAAGCACCTCAGGGGCGAGTTCAGGAATGACACACTCGGTGTGAGTGTGACACCAGTGCGACGCACTAGCCGTTCATAAATGCTATAGACACACCGAGTGCGCGCACTTTATTCCGTTCAGAAAGTACTTTGGGCGCGCTCCAGGTGTCACACCGGTCACACCATAATTTTTTGGTGTGGCTGCGGTGTGCTTGTGTAATAATGTCAACAATTCCTTCCAAAATCCCAATGATCCCACCAAATTTAAAGAAAACACAAATAAGAATTAAAATTTTTTCTTCAAATTAAAAAAATGAACAACAAAAAAAGTAATTTTAATACATTTGGTGAAATTTTTTGAGGAGATACTCGATTGGTCACACCAAGCGTTCAGAGATTCATACGATATCGCCCCAGGAGTGCGTTTAGAAATGGAGTGTGAAGGTCGAGTAGGGGCGCTTTCTTTTATTCTGCGATGGATCCATCAGTAATCAGCCTTTCCTTAGCCGCTTTCCAGTATGCACATTGGCGCGCTCTGGCGCGCTCCAGAGCACCTCGGGGGCGCCACGCTCTAGTTTTGTACCGTTCCAGTATCATGGCGTGAGACGCCTGTCTTAGTGTCAAATATGTCAAATTTTAAAAATAATTATCTGTTTTTTGTGCAGTTGTTTTTTTATTTATCAAAAATGAAAAAGAATCAAAACTATATATTTTAAAATGTTCAATCTTGAGATATAACAAGAAATAAATAGATAAATAGCCACCCATAGATGTGACAGCTGATAGGTTGACGCGTACGTACAGCTCGGGGGCTCCACGCCCCGAGTAGCTCCGGGCGTCACACTCCCATACTGGAAAGCGGCTCTTGTCTAGCTCATAGAAAATTGGAATGTCTGTCTCATAATGCTGGCAGCAGATGGATCCATTGCTGAATAAAAGAATGCGAGCTATTTCTTTGTCAGAGTGTTCTTACGTCATCACTTGGAGTGCACTCTGGGTGCGCATTTTCTGAACGTAATTGGGGTGTTGAGCTAAATGTCAACATCAAACCCGGTAAAAACCGTGGGGCATTTTTCAACCCAGTCCCTGAGTGGGGTAATTTGGGCGCACTCTGTGCACGTCAACTCTCGATTTCTGAACGATTCCAGCGTTACGCTCCGAGTAAGCACCTGTTAATTTATGAACGGTTTAGACTTACTCTAGGGTCACTCTGACACCCAGAGTGCTATTTCGAAACGCAACCCAGCCGTTCGAAAATCAATTGGTATAAACTCCAGTTGACTTTGACTCTAGTTCGAAAATATCCGGGGTGCTACTACCCAGTGTACTCTTTCTTAACCAACTCTGCCGCTGAGCAAATTTTACTCCTGTCATTCTTGTCAGTTTTTTATTATTAGGGCGGGTATTAAAAAACTACTTTGAGAGTGAACTTAAAGTTAACTTCTGGAATTACATGTAATTCAGAAAGTTAACTTGAAGTTAACTTTTCCCGCTGCCGCCAATCATCTGATCTGCAAGTATGAATGAGAAGGATTAGAGCCCATACGAATGACATACAAAAAGCCTATAAAGGCTGCAGTGTAGAGTATGAGCTCGAAAGGGTGAAACCAAAAAAAAAAAGGGCGGGTATTATAAAATTGCTTTGACAGTTAACATAAAGTTAACTTTTTGAATTACATGTAATTCCAGAAGTTAACTTTAAGTTAACTCTCAAAGTAGTTTTTTACAAAGTAGCGCTTTGACAGTTAACTTGAAGTTAACTTTTTGAATTACATGTAATTTCAGAAGTTAACTTTAAGTTAACTCTCAAAAGAGTTTTATAATACCCGCCCTTAGTCAGATTTATGATTTATATGTTCCATTTTCCGTTTCTCGGAAGTTGTTGTTGATAATAGGCAAAAACAGATAAATGGAATGCACAGAACACTGGGCACTGGGCCTAAATGTTAAGCCTAGTACTCATAACTGCGAAATTCGCTATTTTTTGACATTGCTCTGACAATTTGACATTTGATTCAGGCATTTAACGTCAAACTGTCGACGCAATGTCAAAAAAAAGCGAATTTTGCAGTTGTTAAGGCCCATCCTCAATCAATTTGGTAGCGAAGTGGCACTTCGGCACGCAAGCTAGGAAAATGTTGTTTAACGTTGGCATCCTCAATTCAATTCCGTGCTGGCATGCACGCCGACTCCGAAGTGCAAGATGCAAGCTTTTTTGATGCGTGCCGACTTATGTCATGCGCAGTACGGTAACAAATAATTTAAGTTATCCTTGCGTTCGGTATTTTGCTCAAAGAGCAAAGCGTGCATTGCGGAGCCGTAATCACGTGACCAGCGAGCGCACAGAGCAGTAAAACGCTGTATCAGAGGGCTCGAAATGTGAATGAGCCTGCACCGAGTACACTTTTTAAATAAACAAACGGTAAATTCATGCTCAGAGAACTCAGATCAAAATACCGAACGCACGGTATGTGAGTAGCAATGAGTACTAGGTACTAGGGTTGCGTTCGAGAACCTGGTTGTTGGTGTGAAAATTATTTCAAGGACTGGAGATCTGACACACTGTGGTGTGCCAATAGTTGTATTCCTTTCAAGAGTTTGAAACACTCGAGCTACTCGCTCCGGTGTTCAGGCACCCCTGATTTGCAGGGAACAGATGCGTGGTGCAAGAAACACTTTTCGAAAGGAATAAGCGCGTGAAGCCCCGGAGCTGTTCAGGAGCTCCTCCTAGGTGTGAAAGGAATACAACTAATCTTGCTCTAGGTATTCGAACGGTGACCGAGTGTTTTACTCACCAAGTTCGCCTAAAATTAGCCAATTAGCCAAAAGAAACTTGTTTTTCCATATTGACCATATAAATATTTATATAAGCAAATTACAGTAATCAAATCACAGAATTGATATAATAATGGCCTAATAATAAACAAAACAAATTGTAGTGTCATACAGGGTGGGCCAATGGAAACTTTCCACCCCGATTTTTTGGGTTTGAAATGAAAATCTGGAAAAACGCTCGGACACGTCGATTTTTGATTTGAAGAGGAACTATTTTTCAGTTTTTTTCATCCCCATAGTTTCAACCCCCTAGCTGGGGGAAGAACAACGGCCGAAATTTGAATAGGGGATAGGGGTCGTGTCATACCTCTTTTTAAAGGTCTCATTGAGTTCTTCATGACCCTAGAATTTGGGGTTATTATTTTTTTCCGTAACGCAATGACAGCTTGTCAAAATCTGGGAAATAGACTATTGTTTTAGTAGGAGTAGAAGCGATACTTACCTTCCTTAATAAAAATACTTACAATATACATTTCACCAGTACACATAATTGATAATAATAATAAAACAACTTTAATTGTAGGTATTTTTATCAATGGAGGTAAGAAGTATCTCTTTTACTTCTAAAACAATTATTGTCTAGTTCCAAGATTTTGACAAGCTGTCATTTCGTTACGGATAAAAATAATAAGACAAAATTCTAGGGTCATAAAGAACTCGATGAGACCTTCAAAAAGATGTATGACACGACCCCTACTCCCATTTCAAATTTAGGGGGTTGTTCTCCCCCCATCTAGGGGGTTGAAGCTACAGGGATGAAAAAAACTGGAAAATAGTTCCCCTTCAAATCAAAAATCGTCTTTTTTGAGCGTTTTTCCAAATTTTCATTTAAAATCCAAAAAATCGGGGTGAAAAGTTTCCATTGGCCCACCCGGGCTGCGTTCAGGATTGGCTACCGCCAAGCCAAAATTGGCATTTTGCGTTCGAGTTCGGCTCCAAACTACGTGGTTCAGCATTACCGGTGGAGGGGGAAAAGTAGGTTTTGGCATTAGCATTGCCGTCCTTGAACGCACCCCTGGTATATATGTCAGCTTAAATTTCACTCTAGTCAGGACTGGAGTGTCCGGTGCGCGCACCAGTACGTGACAACCACCATTCCGAACGTCGAAAACCGTGTGATTTTTATCCACGCTCCGCCTTTTCGAACGGCAGCTGTGTGATTTTTATACGACTTTACTCCTTTGGTCTAAGCCTTTGACCACGTGACCATATACATATACCCACTCTCACCCTCGCCCTTGTGTAAAATTTAACCCTTTTTCGAACGCACTCTTGATGTTCACTTTCAGGAAACAGTTGGTTGTTTACAAACCAAACCGGTCGGGGTCGGTACAACGGGTACAACGTCGATTGACAGCAAGGATGATACACACCAACAAGGATTGTTTATTGGCCTCGTTTTTAGTAATCGCCGCTATCCATATAGGGCAATCCAAACAAAATGGTGGTCAATGCATGGCCAATGCCAAAAAATTGGCGCCATAAATTTAATTCAAGCAATCGTGACATTTTTCATCAAAAAACTGTTTTTTATGTATTTTGTAATGCTTTTAGATGATTTTCTAGTGTTTGAGAGGATAATTTTCGTATTCTAAGATGGAAAGTTTTTAGTTTAAGAAATTATTAGTAGAAAAAAGGCATTGGCCTCCATTTTGTAT